TGTGCACGTTTTTTCATTTCCCTGGGCTGAACTCGCACATTTGCATTTGTACACCCCGGGCCAGAGCGTGTAACACCCCCCCCCCTCCTCCCCCCACCAGCATATTTTTTTACAAGTTTTGTATGTGGATCTACTAGGTTTTTTTTTTTTTTAAACGAGAACAGAAGCAATACAATCCCGATAAAAATGTTGAAAGTGCTTTCTTTGATGCTGTTATAAATATCATAACCGTTTTTAACCGTGTTATTTCTTAAGCACCCCCCCCCCCCACCCCAATCGAAAAATCCTATACCATTACTTAGATTACAACTGAGAGAATCTAGTTAGTTTACCAATCTTGATTGTCATCCTACTTGGCTATCTCTCAACCCGTACTATTCCATTTAGATGAACTGTATAAAGCCCATTTTCCTATTCCATTTTGCTGATCTTTATAAAGCTAATGCTGCTCCTTTCCCCTCCCACTCCTATCTTAATCATCATCCTATTCTGATGATTTTTGTACCGTCGACATTGCAACATTTTTGCCGAGGATTTTCAATCAAATTCTCTTCTAGTCCTAAGAGTAATTTTTATTTTATTTTTTTTTTCCAAAAAAAAAAAACGACGCTCCCCCCTCTCCTCCCCCAAAAGACTTCCGGTTCTACCCCTCCCTGATATAATTAATGTCCCTTTGCTGGCGGTGACAACAAGACTTCCATAATTTGAACTAAATTCGATCGCCGCGACTGTTTCTTTCGCTGTTGAGATTTTTCTTTTTCTTTTACCCCTAAAAATTGACATCGGTCTATAATGACGTCGATGGCTGCTTGATAAAGCAGAGAAAAAAATTGTTTCGCAAAAATCGATAGCAACGACGTCATCCTTTTTTTTGTTTTTGCTAGCATGGCATTGTTTACTAAACAAACACCGTCGTCTCTTGTGTTCAACGAATCGGTGCAACGAATGTTAAAGCGGAAAAGCTTTAGTTGTTTTTTTTTTATTATCCTTACAACCTCACTCATTATTTTGTTTTATTATTTTGGTTATAGAATTGATTTTGCACTATAAGTTGAGTGGATTCGGTACGGAAATTCAAAAAAAAAAATTTGACCTATGAACCGATTTTGAAAAAGCTGTATTGGTTTTTTTTTTTGGCGTACTGAACAGTAGTGAATACAGAACTTCAAATGTGTTTAAAACAGTGGTGCTAGTGTTAAGCGGACTAAACTAGTCGCACGGAGTTACTGCCCCTTTAGAGGATTGGAGTCGCTGTCCTTTCTGAGGATTACGTGAAGCAGCGTCTAGCAACAGAGTGGTCAAGCAATCAATGACCAAACATGTGCTGCGGGGAAGGTGACGGGGACGGAGAACACAAGGCTAAACATCGGCGGATCAACGTCCAAGGTGGGCCCTCTCTGTCTCCACACACCTCAACTCCACCCCTGGGCCATTTCTGTGTCCCCACCCCTGGGCCATTTCTGTGTCCCCACCCCTGGGCCATTTCTGTGTCCCCACCCCTGCGCCATTTCTGTGTCCCCACCCCTGGGCCATATCTGTGTCCCCACCCCTGGGCCATTTCTGTGTCTCCACCCCTGCGCCATTTCTGTGTCCCCACCCCTGGGCCATTTATGTGTCCCCACCCCTGGGCCATTTCTGTGTCCCCACCCCTGGGCCATTTATGTGTCCCCACACCTGGGCCATTTCTGTGTCCCCACCCCTGGGCCATTTATGTGTCCCCACCCCTGGGCCATTTCTGTGTCCCCACCCCTGGGCCATTTCTGTGTCCCCACCCCTGGGCCATTTCTGTGTCCCCACCCCTGGGCCATTTCTGTGTCCCCACCCCTGGGCCATTTCTGTGTCCCCACCCCTGGGCCATTTCTGTGTCCCCACCCCTGGGCCATTTCTGTGTCCCCACCCCTGGGCCATTTCTGTGTCCCCACCCCTGGGCCATTTCTGTGTCCCCACCCCTGGGCCATTTCTGTGTCCCCACCCCTGGGCCATTTCTGTGTCCCCACCCCTGGGCCATTTCTGTGTCCCCACCCCTGGGCCATTTCTGTGTCCCCACCCCTGGGCCATTTCTGTGTCCCCACCCCTGGGCCATTTCTGTGTCTCCACCCCTGGGCCATTTCTGTGTCCCCACCCCTGGGCCATTTCTGTGTCCCCACCCCTGGGTCATTTCTGTGTCCCCACCCATCTTTCCCTCCATATGGCCATTTCTTTACCCCCACCAATCTTTCCCACCTTTGGGTCATCTCTGTGTCCCCACCCATAGGCCATTTCTGCGTCCCCACCCATCTTCCCCACCCTAGGAACCTATCTATGTCCCCACCCTTGGGCCCTTCATGTGTCCCCACCATCGTTCAAATGTAATCCATGAGTGGATTAAGTATAGAAAAAGAATACTAACATGCTGGTATTTCAGTAGATTAAAGACAAACATAAACATTTGTTTAGCCTAGGAAATAATGGCTATTTTGTTTTGAAACGTAATGGACAAAAAACACGTTCCATTCCCATGGCAACAATGATTAAAGTAGAACAACTATGTGTCGTATCAGAATATGATAATCAATATAATTCAATATTTTGTTCTGTTTTATGTTATTGTTTTCAAAATTGCGTCTTTTTGAACTTAAATTATTATTTTTTTGTTAATTTTTTAAAGAATATAAAACTAGTTTTTTTACAATAATTTCAAAATTTTTAATTCAATAAGAAAATTAAAAAGCATTATGAAAGCTATTTCGAAACAAATTGGGATGATAAATCTGTGTAGAAAATGTTTCAAGTTAGTTTTAAATTTACTTCTAGTTTATAGAAGTAAAAAAAAAAACCGGATATAGCAATCACTTGACAATGGATCTAAAAATAACCCTCAGCCACGGAACCGACAACTTCCGGAGCGAAGACAGAGCGTACTGTCGCATGCTGGCTTGAAAACTGACAAAGTTTTCGGACTACGCCGAGACGAAAAAAAAACAACAGAATCGATCATCCAATCTTCGTGAATCCGTAGTGACTTCCCTTGCAAATAAGACACGCTCTTTTCAAATTCGAATCACATAACCGATTTATTTTCATCAGCACTTCGGGATATGCCAAAGCTTTTCAGAAAATGATTTGCGTTACAATTTTTTTTTCTTTTCGAGAAGGGTTTTTTGGGATATTTGAAATGAAACTCCCTTTAGCAAATACGGACACCTCACTGAGCAAATACCGGGGTTTATTTTTAGATCTGTGAAGCGAATGAATTGGTTGGTTGATTAATGACTGTTGGGCGTTGTAAAGATGGAATCGCGAGTAATGTTTTCTAGCGAAAAGAAAATCTAGATCTGTGTTTCCATGGTAAATCCTGTATCAACATCATACAGTAGATGTCAGTTATTTCTGACATTCAAATAAGTAAAAGAAGTGTTTTGGTAGCTTTTAGTAAGACTTGATAAGCGTATCATTATTTGTGTCTCTTTGTGTTTCTTTATTCTAATCCACTTTTGTTGAGTGTTTATTTTCTTACGCTTTTAGAAATATATTTTTAAAAATCCAACCAAAAAAAAAATAGTTTTTTTAATGAATAAAATTAAATCTACTTAAGACGACTTAAGATTATACATAAAGTCTGTTCCATAACTAATATAGACCTTATTCGACGTATAAGACGAAATATAACTGGAAAATATAAAAAGTCAAGGTCATTTATCACACCGGGCCTTATCAATATATGGCGATAATATCACAAACTCTATTATTTAATTGGAAAAGTCGGGGTCGTCTTATTTTATCAGTTTTCTTAACAAAAAAGTTAAGATCAACAATAATATCGGATTTCGTTTTTTTTTATTACACGAAGACATTATTTTATAAAAATTCTGTAACTATTTATTCTTTTCTGTTGTTATGATTTTTTGCGTGTTTTAATTGTTAGTTATACTTGTGTGTTCATTCATTTAAATTGTTTGAGATTTAATAAAATATCGTTGGTTTGCTGTTTGAGCACATTACATAGACTTAAATGTACACATTTATCCTACAGAATTATTACTGTAGACGATAGTGGACCGCACAATCTTGAGAAATCATTTCGCATTTTTTAATAATATAAAGAAAAAAATCCTCAGTAATTAAAAAGAATCACTGCAAATGAGTGATGTGACATTTTGAAAACAAACAAAAATTTTCTTTCCAGGAAGTTTCGTTCATCTTTCTAGACAAAGATGCGAAATTATCCAATGAAAAGTTAATTTCAAACTATTGATTGTTACAAGGAACATAAATGTAAAAAAAAAAAAGTAATCAATTTCTTGACTTTTAGCTAAAATGTTGGTACCTTGCCTAAGGGAAGAGGGAGAGATTGAGTGGAGAGGAAGCTCAAAAGCTATTTTACACACGGCGTATGGTCCTTTAGGGCAAGGGACGTGGGGTAAAGATTGTGTACGGTGTACACCAAGGGAAGTATCCGTGTTAAAAAATGTCTGGAACTTTTTACCAGACTTGGCCCCGGGCTGTGAATAAAACATCCGGTGACGTTATGGAAAACACAATTTTTGGCATTTTAGTTGATTGAAAAGTCTACTAAAATATCTTTGGGGTTTGAATTTATTGAAAACATTTTTTTCATTTTTTTCCCCTTTTGTTGTTGAGGGGTTCTTGAAGAAGAGGTAGATTAAGGAAGTTTGCCTGAAAAATGAGTTCCGTTGAAATGTGCCAGAATACGACAAATGCCCAAATGGACGTTTGCTCAAATGCGACTAATGTCCGAATGTGCAAGAGTTTTTGAGGCTTTAGTCGTAGACCCGAGTAAGAGATGACTAACCAAAAGATTGTAGTCTATGTCTACAACCAGATGAAAAATGAAATGCAGCTTGTTTCGGCGGACTACTAATTTCTGATCACTTTTAAGAGTAACCGGCGTAGCAGAAATATAAGGGCACAGTCATTGTGTATATATGTATATATGAATATGTATTATAAAAGCTTTTTGACTTAATTTAACTAATAGTTTTGTATTGATCTATTTACAGACAATCGCCACAGGGACGGCCCATGTGGAAAAAGATGTTTTGTGGTGACTACAGTCTCGTTGTTTTTATTCCTCACATTCGTCGCCCTGCCGGCCGGTAAGTCCTTCATTCAATCGGTTTCGTTACGTTGTGCTATGTTGTTGTTTTTTATGTTGTCAGGGGTCATACGTCCCGTCACACATCAATTGGGTGGAGGGGGTTGACACGGGGTTGGTTTACTGAGACATAACGTTTGTTTTGATTTTTATAAAGTTAAAACTGAAACACTTTCATTATTATTATTATTATTAGTTTTTGTCATCTTTAGCGAGGTCGGTCGTGTACTTTCATGTTGTTATTTTATGTGTGAAGGATAGCTTTTTACCTCGTTAAAATTGACTCAGGGGTCGGCGTGGTCGAGTCGGTAAAGCCAATGGTTGATAAATTCGAAAAAGTCTTAGAGTTCAAACCCTCTGGCAGATAAGGCTCGATCCCTTCCAACACTAAAAGTTAAGAACGAAGAAGACTAAAATTGACGTAAAATGTCACCTATTAACGATCCTCAATGGAGAAATTGAAACCTGTATTGAACGTATAAAATCTCATTCTATTTTTCATCTGTCGCTATGCAGCCAGCAACGAGTTCAATTCTATTTTTTCTTATATCAGTCAAAGCCCTACATCCTAGCAAAACTGCACATTTAGAAAGCCAGATGTGAAATTAAACGTCATACCCCGCCAAGATTTGTCTGTCTCAATTTAATCCTCCGCGTAGGCTTGCCCCGGCCAAAATCGGATTAAACCCCCCTCATCTGGGACTTCCAAATTGTCTCCCTTCTTACATACATGCTATTGTTATCGCCCTTTGTTCGGGTAATCAAGTTGCCTGCCACGCCTACACACATCTTAGGAGATGTTTAAGACAGCTATCGATTTTTCCCCCCTCGTATCTACATGGTATTAGAATTAAAGCGATCTCCCTATGAAAGGTTTTTAAGCATAAAATCTTCTAATTAGTGCTGCTATAGTGTTAGCTTCGGGCTGATAGGAATACAGGACGTACAAGTATTTAAACCTTTGCGACACAAGACGGCTTATTGGAAATACCGCTTGACGATTGATTTTATAATAAGTCTTACAATTAAAATTAAGAAATCCTTAAATGTTATTCATTCTCATTTCAATACCAACGCAATTTCATAGGAAAGTTTGTCCAATTATCACAATTTACCAAACACCCCCCCCCCCCCCCACATACACACACCATAATGGAACTAATACATTTTTTCCTCGCGCACCTTAACCAACTGATATAGTTCTGTGCTTAACATCCCTCCGCTCTTCCCCCCCCCCCCCCCCCTTTCCCCCATCACTGAGTGAAAGCTGTTTTGATTTCCCCTCGCTGTGTACATTCAACAGCTGCTAAACATCAAATGGAAACATTGAACCCTCGTTAAGAGAGTTCAAACACTACACTCCAGCCACGTAAATATTGCAAACTTTCTATACCACCACTTAAATAAGACCTATTGCAACCCTTTTATTGTAACCACTTAAATAATACCTATAGCAACCACTTTATACCACCACTTAAATGAGATCTATTGCAACCCTTTTATTGTAACCACTTAAATAATACCTATTACAACCACTTTATACCACACACTTTAAAAAAAATACCCACTGTAAATACTTAATACCACCCACTTAAATAAGACCTATTACAACTACTTTATACCACTTATATAATACCCATTACAAATACTTAATACCACATACTTATATACTCTTTATACCACCCACTTAAAAATACCCACGGCATAAATTGTATACAGCTTTAATATAAGGGATGTTGTTGTCTATAGTAAAGCTATACAGTTATCAGGGGTAGGTGGGAGGGTTAGTAAAGAATAACCCATCCTTTTGTTCTGTTGTATACGCTAGACGCCCTCTTACGTCCAACCTACTTTGAACAAGAACTATCACAACTGTCACCCTACATGAAATAGCTATCACTTAACTCCACACACATCCGACTCTATTCTACTCACAATCTTCTTCAAATAGGGACGCATATCACTCACACTCTACACACACACACACACACACACACAAACCCACACACGCTCTCAGCTACACCCTAGCATTACTTTAAAACTAAATTTGACGATCGATATTTCGAGACCACGTAGTAGCCCTCATCGATCTGACAGAAATCAATAGCGTCTTGCCCAACGTTGCGGGCGAGGATGTTAGAGTTGACATAAGTATACTCCGCTCGTGTGTTGAGGGGGAGGGGGTTCTCATAAATACACTGTAGTTGTGGAGGGGGGTGTAGTCAAATGCAAATGGACGTCTACGGTCTTTGACTGCTGAACTACATTGCTGTATTGATTTTAGAACACTCCATTCACCACATCACATTCACTGCTTGACCACACCCCATTCAGTGCTTGACCACACCCCATTCAGTGCTTGACCACACCCCATTCAGTGCTTGACCACACCCCATTCAGTGCTTGACCACACCCCATTCAGTGCTAGACCACATCCCATTCACTGCTAGACCACACCCCATTCACTGCCAGACCACACCCCATTCACTGCCTGACCACACCCCATTCACTGCTTGACCACACCCCATTCACTGCTAGACCACATCCCATTTACTGCTAGAACACACCCCATTCACTGCTAAACAATACCCTATTCAATGCTAGACAAGACACCATTCACTTAACCACCCAATTGACTGCTAGAACACGCCCCATTGCTAGACCATATCCCTTTACCACTGAAAACGTTTAGTTCCAGTTGTTTTATCTTGGTTTTATCTTGCACATTTAATTCCTTTTTAAACAAATGCAATTTCATTTAATTATTTTGAATATCGACCTAAATCCCAAAAGGACTATCGTAACCTTGAATTTATTCATTAAAAAAAAAAGCTTTTAAAAAAAATCCACTTTTTTTTAACCCACCCGCTCACAGCATAGAATGTGATTGATGCAGAGGGTTTAATCAAGATATGGGGAGGGGGGGGGGGGGGGGGTTAAGGTTCAGAGCGAATTAGAAAGCCGAAGAGAAAAAAGGGGGTGTAGCCTCTTGTCTTGTAAATGCGATAATGCTCCAATGACTGGCTCAGAGCCAATGTGAGGTCGGGTGAGTTTCGGGTCAGAGGTTAGATGAAGCCGAAATGAGTTTTTTTTTTTTTTTAAAGAAACATTTTTTGTTGATTATTTTAGCGTTTAAAAATCTGGCCATCGCCCGTTATATTGCGCGGATATTGCCAGCTAGGGCGTCTCTTCCATCGAGATTTTCTAATAAGATCTCTTTACCCATCAAAAACCGGGCCGTTGATGATTTATTTGATTACCGTTGCTGATTGCAGGCCCGAGATTTTATTTTTAGATTTTAGATTTCTAAAACAAGTAAGATTGAGTGGTTCTGTTTAGGTAAGAATAGTCTTCGTTACCTATGTTTACACCATGTTAAGAGTATTTTCATAGTGTTTAATTGGTAAAAAAAATTAGATATAATTTAACCAGAATTTTTTTTTTTTTGAAAAATCGTTAATTAATTCCAGTTCAAAGCGGGTCTAGGATATTAACTCACACTCACACACAAAATTCCAGGTATCCCCTGAATTATCCCCCCCCCCCCCCAACACACACACACACTATAAAATTATCCGACCCTGATTCTAGCCTAAATCCTAACATTGCCTTGCTGTTGTCGTTTCGTTTAGTGTTAAGATTAGGTTTAGGGTCACTTTATTATTTATGTCCTATAGTTTTATTTTCCATGGGGGCTGGGACGATAATTGAAAAAAGGTGGGTGATATGTCGGTGGAGGATGGGGGAATGTCCGAGGGTAATAGGTATGGGATATTGTCCTGCAATATGTTAACAGCGTATAAAAAATTCGTATTTTACTTTACCCAAACATTATAGCGCTTGTATTTCTTCTCAAAATACTTCACCGTGTGAAACGAAACAAAATATATTACATGTAATTGTAGTTATACACAACAACATCACCGGATGGCATTTCAGTACTGGTTTTTGTAATTTAAAAAAAAAAAACCGTCAACGAAGTCTAATGTCAAGACAGTGTGCTCATTACTCTGACATTCAGGGGAGTGGATCTTTGAACTTTGAAATATCACACAAAGACATCAGCGCCACCTCAGTGTTTCTTTCAGATTTTTTTTTCTCTGGCGGTTGACACTTGAAAACTTAAGGGTGGGGGAACGGACTAAAACAAATCCGAGAGGGTGGGGGGGGGGGGGGGTTACTGGTAAAAGTATATATTCTCCATATAAATTATATTTCCGAAGAGATGCCTGAAAGAACCTCTGCGCCGCCAGAACTCAGATCTTGGCTAATGCTGCGACAAGTCGGAGACAAAATGTCGCCCCCATGTCGTTAGGAAGTCTGATAGAAGGAAATGTTATGGGGTTAATCAATACGCCTAGGGGGCATAGTCTTACAAGTGTAGAAAAGTCATCGGTAGAGATAGTCTCATTACATATATCTATAGCGATGCTAATGTAGCCGAACAAATATCTATAGTGGTGCTAATGTAGCCGAACAAATATCTATAGTGGTGCTAATGTAGCCGAACAAATATCTATAGTGGTGCTAATGTAGCCGAACAAATATCTATAGTGGTGCTAATGTAGCCGAACAAATATCTATAGTGGTGCTAATGTAGCCGAACAAATATCTATAGTGGTGCTAATGTAGCCGAACAAATATCTATAGTGGTGCTAATGTAGCCGAACAAATATCTATAGTGGTGCTAATGTAGCCGAACAAATATCTATAGTGGTGCTAATGTAGCTGAACAAATATCTATAGTGGTGCTAATGTAGCCGAACAAATATCTATAGTGGTGCTAATGTAGCCGAACAAATATCTATAGTGGTGCTAATGTAGCCGAACAGTTATCTATAGAGGTACTAACGCTGCCGGACAAATGTCTATAGTGGCTCTAAGTTTGCCGGTATGGTAGCCCAAAGGTCTTCATATTTGTGCAATGGTTTCCGAAGATGAAACTATATTTCCGCTACGATTTCGGAGAATGTATCCATATTGCCGCTATGGCTGCCAAAC